TCATAGTTGTCCTTGTATGTCTCCGACATCAAGAGGTCTTAAGCTCTTCGGGTTCAAAGGCAACAGCTTCGTTTGCGTGAGGTCTCGTTATCACTTTACTAGAGGGCCATCTTGCTTGCTGCCAGAGATCACATTGCGTGCCTGGACCGCCATTCCCGATCCCTGCCTGCAGTTTACGTGTCTGTAGCTTGGCAGTAAAGTTTAGGCCAATGATAGTATACATTCTTCTTCCTCTGCTGTGGCCTGTCGTACTATGTGGGGAAATTGTGATAGGGTCTTGCTGGATTGAGAAACATAATAAACAGATTACCGGCATTGCGGGTGGTGTTCAGCGCAAGCGACATACATACCCCAAGGAGGCACAGGACAACAGTAGCATTGCGATGACTTCTTGTCCATAGAGTTGGCGGTGATAAGAATAGCAGTCGGCGTCGTCCTGGTAGTATAAGCAGCAGGAGTCGTTGTAGCAGTAGTAGCTCCCGCCCGGGAAAAAACGAGATGTCTCTCAGAGACTGCGCACGCTCTGATCACATGGCGTCTTCGGATTTTGGTCGACATGCCCCCTCCCCCTCCCCACAATTACCTAAGCAGTATAGGCACCGCCAGAAAGCAAGCAATGCTGGCCTTCAGAGTAGTCTCGGCTCCGGCAAATTTTCCGATTCTTCTCGAGAATGTGTGGTTCCGGGACCAGAACTGGCTTTGGGTGCGCTTGACGCTGCTTGCTGCATGGGGCCGGGTAGGAACCTCTCACTTCTACATCCTTAGCAGTTCTCCTAGCCGAAGTTACATGCATCAACCAGACAAGGCTCCATCCTAAATCAGCCACCTGACATCCACGCCGTATTAGTTCCAAGTTAGTTTGTGTGCAGGAAAGCAGCTCGAACTAGGACTGGCTGCGGCATGGGGCTGACAATGTTGCTGTAGGGCTCATGCAGAGTCTACAATTCACGGTCTAAGACTTAGAGTAGAGGGCTACGCAGACATTCTCAAGGAGGCAGTCCTGCGAGCCTGGAGAATTGAAGCAAAAGTTGCAAGGGATAGTACTCAAGGGCTCCGGATTGTAGGGGAGCCGCCCCGACTGTGTTCAGAGTGGGGTCAATCCACGCTGCATTTCAGACAAAAGGTTTTGTGGCTCCTGGCTTACCTATGAGGCTTACGGTTCTCGGATCACAATGATGGCTCTGGCTGCACTCAGCTGGAGAAGATCAGACATGCCCTGCAGTATACATACGAAAGGCAAAGCCTTTCAAAGCAAAGTCAAAATACTTTGCTCTTTGCCAGGGTCTTTGCAAATACACTGCTGACATATCTAAGGCTTGACACGACCGAACGAATCCCAAACCGTCAGATCCTCACCGCAACATACACCCCCCTTAGACAGACCCAAACCCGGAGCGCTAATCCATCAACAGATGCTCAGCTTAGAGTATGATTTACCTCGCAGGCCGGCCAAGCAACTTGCTAGTCATCCTCTCGCAATGAACCTGCCTGTGGATATTCAGCTCGTAGTACTGAATATCACCTGAAGTACACACCAGAGACAAGGACCAGTGTGGCCTCTTCCTGTTTTGATCGATGCAGGATCCAAGGCTGAGGAACTGGGCATGCATCCTATGGCATGCACACCTGAATGGATGTATGTACGTACATCTGTATGTATATATGTATGTATGTATGTATGTATGTATGTATGTATGTATGTATGTATGTACGTATGTATGTATGTATGTACGTATGTATGTACGTATGTATGTATGAATGTATGAATGTACGTATGTATGTAACATGTATGTATACATGTACATGTAGGTGTTTGTATGTATACAAACATACACCGGTGGTCACGCCAGCTACCTGAGCCTATATTTACCCTTAGGAAGAAGGCTTCAACATTCGCGTCGAGACAACAACCCTAAACCCTAAACAACACCACGAAGACCGGCAGAGAGGTCGTCGGGTACAGCGCTTGCAGGATCCGTGGAACTTTCCCACGTCGGAGAGCAACATCTGGGTTTAGGGTTTAGG